TTGGCCTAATTAATCACAATGTCCAGAGGAAGATTATCAACATCTATTAATATCACGGGATTAATTTGACGTTGATGTATGAAATGAAACAGAGCTTTTGTTTGGAAAAAATATAAACCGGTTCTTCTCGTTCTTAGTTCATCATCGCTCGTTGCATGTAAAATTGATTTTAAAATCTGCGATAACCAGCTATATGCTGAAAGAAAGCAGATCGCATTCGAAATTGAATGTTTTGTTGAACGAATCATTATTTTTAGAAAAAAAAGCGGAAATGTTTTGAATTTATAAACAACATACGAGGTAAAAAGAAACCTGGAAGAAATACTATCTTCTGTGCGATGTATCTCTTCAGGACTTTAGTTATTGTGGCCCTCCCCAATTTCCTGTTCTTTTTAACTTTAGCAATTTTTTTTTGTTTTCTCTCCTAAATCCTGTTCTGCCATCCATTCACAGAACATTGATAGTTGTGGTAAACGTTGTTTTCCTCTTCCCTTCTTGCCTTCAATATGTCCTTTGTGTTCAAGATTTCACAAATCGTTTTTCCGCATTTTATAAACATTCATATTTTCATGTGTGTGCTATATATGGGTAAAGCTTAACGGTTATAAATGAGCCGTTCAAAATTCAGTAAATCCTATTTAATTACCCTGTAACAAATGTTCATCGAAAAAGCACGAATCAACTTAATCCGTGCGATGGAGTAAATAGCCAATCAGACTGGCACTCTTTCCTTGAATTGGCACACATTCTTTGAGAAAGAAAACATTGAATTCAAAACCAGCCTGAATATGGGTAATCTCTATCAGATATTATTGTACTAAGCATAAAAACTGTTGCTATTTCTACAATACAAGTTGTATTACTGCGACACTAATATGTTAGTGGACTTGTGAAACATCTGACAGTAGGTTTTATCAGCGTTTTTTCAGGACGAAGAATATCGTAGATAGGCGCAAATTCTTCTCCTTTGTAGTTCTGTGCAATATTTGTGCAATTAATATCCTTATATTCAATTTTCAGCTTTTAATTTAACAAATGTGTTTCTACATCACCAGATGTATCTCTGTCACGATATGTCTTGTCAGAGTTTAATATTCCAAGCCTCATTATAGAATTATATATATATGAAAATTTAATTGTATCTGCAGTATTCTAAGTGCGCTAAATCTTCCCATTTTCCTTAAAACTACTTGTTACTCACATGTCCAAACCATGGTGCTATCATCATCCTTCGTTAGAACAACATATGCGTTGCCTCAAGTTTCCTTTTAATCTGTGAAGAAACTGTCTAGCCATCATTGCCCTATATGGTATTTATAGATTTTTTTATTTTATTTTTTTTATTGGACGGATGGTTCCGACGAGTAAATTGTACATGTCAAGAGAAATATTACCCTATGTTCTGGTTGGTCAATAACCTCCTTTTGAATAAATGAATATTGAGTGACTTTCCTTTACAGTATGCGTTGTGGTGAGCTGGGTTTCGCCTGTGAATGAAAACTCGTGTAGTCAAGTTTGAATTGCCATTGAGTACGTTATATTTACGCACAAATAACATTAGGAAATATATTACTCCCAATCGTATTTGCGCCTAAGTGAATATAACGAACCCAACTGGAATTCGAATATTCCCATAAAAAAATCAGAATCATTATCTATTTCACCAACAGTACATCCAAGCTTACAGCACTGTTACCTCTATGCTGGTATTTACCATTTTGACCAGGCCTGACATTGCTTAACTTCGGTGATCGTACAGGTATCAGTGTTTCAACGTGAAGTGATAATAAACCTTAAAACGTGAAATTATTTCTAGTATTATAACATTTTCTTACGTGATGTACCATCAGTTTTCATACTTATTATAAAACCCATGTTGTGTGTGTGTGTGTGTCTGTTCGTTTATATATTGGATCGAATTTCCTACATTTTTCAACCGATTTCAACAAAACTTCACAGGACTATGTAAAATTACCTTGCGGTGGTTGTGACAGCAGCGAACATTAGAAAAACACAATTGTTTTTGCACGAAATCAATTTGAAAACACGATTAAGAGGCATCGCGAGAATGAAAGGGTGACAACTCGTAATGAGTTATACTTATAAAACCCAGATTTTTTGTGCGTGTGTGTGTTTGTGTTCGTTTATATATGGGATCGGATTTTCTACATTCTTCAACCGATTTTAAAATACCTCACTTTTTTTTGGCAGGTAGTGTTTCTTATTGCACAGTTTTTTCTTTATTTTTACATTACGAATGCTTTAAAAATTCCATTTACAAGACAATTGTTTATCATAAAATTTTATTCAATCGGTAGACTCATAACAATCGAAAACAATGTTTTTGTTTGACTTTGGTTTTGACCAATTCGTAAAAAAAAACAAAAAAAAAATCTAATTAAGACATGCGTGTCCGTCAACCTTAAACAATAATCTTTGTCAATTTTATTTTTCAGTCTTTATGATAGTCGATACTTGATCTATCTCTTACTGTTACATCCCCGGGCAACGCCGGGCTCTACTGCTAGTTAATAATATTCTGACTTGTATTTATTTCATTTTATATCTGTTACATTTTATTGAAATTCGCAGTTTGCCAGGCCATGTTAATATTATTTTGCAACGTGGAACTGAAATAAATAGTCAGCCCTCGACGAGATAAATACAGTTTCAGGTTATTGCAATTTCAATGTCCCTGCCTTTATCAATTAGGACACCAGGACCTCTCTGTAGAGGTCATGCAATATAGCATGAAATTCTTTATTTTCCACGAATGTCTGACACATGGCAATATTTAATTAAAAATATCGAGATATCTCGGCCATAATTTGAATTTACAGATAGTGTTTTTCACAGAGAATATTCCTACAATAACGACAAAAATTGATAGAATTATATTCGTGAATGCTAAAAATCTTCATCAGAAAAACATAATATCGATACAATGGAATTCAAAGAAAGCCTAAAAATTTAAGAGTATTTGAAAATATAAAAGAAAATTGTATAGGCCGAAGCCTATAATTAGAAATAAGCAATGGAGAGAAAAATCCTGCATTCAGATCGACGATGACATAAGGAAGTGTAGAATAATATAAAGAACGCTAAGACAAGGATGAGTTTCCGGACCGGATTTATTTAATCTATGCAGCAAGACTATCTAATGAGAATAACAATTACACTTAATTATATATCTCTTACACCGATGGGTTATTGACAGAGTTACTCTTAACTATATATTTCTAACACGTCTGGATTATTGACAGAGGTAATCTTAACTATATATTTGTAACACAGGTGGATTATTGGCAGATGTACTAGTAACTATATAAGTTACGTGTATGAAACGGCATTGTTTAAAGATTCACAATATTGCAAGAAATTTTAAACAATGTATTAAAAAAGCCAAAAGAAAGAAATAACCATAAATTTTAAGAAAACATCCGAAAATGCGAATTATAAATTGCAAATATCAAAAAGTGCTATCTGGATATTGCCTACGGATAATGTTACGCGAAAATAGGTGTGTATGTGTGCGTGTGTGTGTATATATATATATATATATATATATATATATATATATATATATATATATATATATATATATATATATATGTATATACACTTTATTTTAGGATGTTACATCATAAATGTAAAAATCTCTACACAATTGCAATCATGGTTCGATGCTTACACAACGCATCTTATCATTTCATTGTAAATTACTGGTATACGAGTCGAAACACGACTGCATTTGTGTAGCGATATTAACATGTTTTCGATGTAATATCCCAAAAATAAATATTGCTCTACTTTTTATATTGAACCCTTTTTAAATTAAACGTTACGAACGTGGGAATTATACTCTATTCATTCTCCTCTTACCCGAACATATATATATATATATATATATATATATATATATATATATATATATATATATATAAAAAAGAAGAGAGATGCCGCAAGCCGCAAACGTTTTTGGTTGTAATGTGGATAAATCCACATTACAACCAAAAAACGTTTGCGGCACCTCTCTCTTCTTTTTAATATACATACTTTTCTCTCGTTGGAACCACTACAACATATTTCTTTTTATATATATATATATATATATATATATATATATATATATATATATATATATATATATATATATATTAAATAATATACATAAGTTTGTTCTCTTTATTTTCAATAGGATTCTTTTGTAATTACGGACAAGTCTCTTATTATCGTTATTAAAAGAAGAAAATGTTAACATACTGATGCATATTAATATTCAACATTTTTTTAGACATTAGCACAATATCGTCATCGCGGCCTCGTATTATTTTTCAGAAAAAATTGTTGTGTTCTTCATTTTGATAAGACAAAAACTGTTGTGTTCATCTGAAAATTAAATTTTTACAAGTGAAATGAAAAACACTAAGATTAAATACGCTTCTTTTGTTTTAGCTTATCATCACGCGTGCAAACGTCAAAGGAGGTAACTAAGATATTGCAATGTCTAAAGATTTTTAAAAAAGCAAAACTATTTAAATCTATTAGTTAAAACCTAGTTATTTTAAACTATGTACTGTAAACATTTATAAACATTTGTGTTGTATTCATAATTGATTTTATTAAGGGTTGCTTTCAATTTTTTAATATCGGTATGTTCACGACATTGATGTTTATGCTAATTAATTTAATGAACAAGTACAGATGCATTTTCAACAAGAATTTGTCGTAAATTGCGAATGTGGACAGATATATGAGCTGTTTTTGTCTTAGACAAACACTGCACTGATGACGACTGAGCTAATTTCGAAAGACCTTGGAATAAAATAAATATGCATCAACGTGATAATTTTATTTCTTCTTTTAATAAGGATACTAAGAAACTTGTCCGCAATTATGACAGGACCCTATTAAAAATAAGTCGGCAAAACTTATCTAAATTATTTAATGAAACATGTCTTAAATAAAACCTGCTGCCAAAATATACGCAATACATAAACATATAGATAGATAGATAGATAGATAGATAGATAGATAGATATAATTTCTGTGTAAGGGAATAATATAATATTTCTTAATATATTCCTTTCTTCCGTGGCTATTAAAAAAGTATAATCAATATTTTTCGTAGTGTTTTCTTTTCTAACAACATCTCCCTTCAAGGTTTAGTCGATCCTGATACTCCATTGATCTATATTCTTTATTATCCTCGAATTGTCGTAGATTATCTTGTAATATAATCGTTTTTCTTCCACGTAGGTACTTTCATGATTTGGCATCCCGAATTTTAATACTTTTAGCGCTAGTGATCTCAGTAATACCTGCTACTTATCTTAGAGTTAGATGGAGTAGAAATGGAATCATATCTTCCTCAGAGACATCTGTGCCGAATTTTGTTAATCTTTCCACCCAAAGCAAAGCAGTAGACTACTAAGACGAAAAGAGTTACTGAGAGTGAAATGATATAAGAAAAATTAAAACATTATTAATGAGTAAGAACAGTAACAGAACAAGAATTAAGTTGACAGATGGTAACGATTGATAAAGGCATTACCATTTTTGAAGATCAAGAAGACGGATGATAATTCCACAAGCAAGAAATGCGAGAGAAAAGACTGTTAGCATAGAACTTACGGATACATTTAGGCATTCTATTTGTAAAATGATGATACTGTCCCCCATTCCTTACTGTATGAGGTCTCGTCAACATAGAGGAAAATTCATCAGAGAAATTATCATGAAATTATGTATAGAAAAGGCGCAGCGAAACTACATTAGGCTGTTGGGAAAATGACTGAAAACGACATGCTAGAACAAGACCAATAATATTGCAGACACTTCTTGGATTTTATTAAAAAATTCCAACCATACAGCAGAGGAATAAGACCAGAAATCGCAGTAATATTCAAATCATGGACCTTGTACTAAAAGTCTTGCTCGGAATTTGAACTCGGCTCGCCGATTATATTTTCAACGTCGATATCAGTTACACTACCCCTACATTCCTAGAGCTAGTTTAAGAAATGAATATACAATGCTAATGATATTTTATTTAAAAATAAATCTTTGAATTTATTAAATAGTAAAATATAAAACTGGCATGGCTAAATAACAGCGTATATTGGAATAAGACCGGCTCTTTATATCTGAAAAGCTGGCATAAAATAAATCCTCGGCACATATGCACGTTTTTAGATTTGTTCCATACTAAGATACGCTTAGTAAATACCATTAATTTTATATGCAAACCTAAAACACATTTTATGTATTCAAGATTGCTATGTTGTGTTCATTAAAATGGGTTATGTATCGAAATCTTAGAAATCAACTCCAATAAAATCATTCGACTTTAGATTCAAAAGCAACTAAAACCACAAAATAAGTATAGAATTTCGATATCTACTGTGATTAACACCAGTGGCTTCGTCATTAATTGAATGAAAAAAAGTTAAGTTGGATACTTTCATTGATTGTAGACAGAAAATTAAGAATGCCTTCCCATCCACCTGACGATGCTATTTACCTAAGTTGCATACACGCATGGTACACGCTTGAATATATGCGTGTGTTTCGAATATGTGCGTGTATTGTTATTCGCTAGCGGTCTTATGTTGAAGATGGGCGACTACGTGTTCATGCAACTCGAAAGAATTTGCTTTCAAGCAAAAGCAGTAATGTATTTATTATATCGTGGCCGGTTCTATCTTCATGCGAGAGATAGCTGTCCTCACGAGATCTCGCAAAATGTCGGGCAATTAAGAATTAAGAATTTTTTTTTTTAAATAATAAATTACTGAACAACAAATCATTCACCTATTTTTTTTCGTTTATATAGATAATGTTTAAAAGTAAAATAATTCCGCACAGTAAAAATTCTCTTTTCATAATGACTTTTTCGCATACCGCTTTATCGATTTTCGAAAACATTAAATATACATTAAACCATTCTTGTCTGTAACATTAGCATTTATTCTTCATCATTCAGATCTACTCTTCTTTCTTAATTTAACTCTATGGTAGAATCATTGGTAATTCTTTTATATCAAACATCTAATGATCCTAATGGTTATGTTCAAAATACTTAACTAGTCTTATTTTTTGTTGAACTTAATACTTAATTGATGCGTTCTAGGACACTACAAAGAATTAACACTCTAAGAGGGTTTATCTTTCTTAATTCTCATTATTCTCATAATATTTTCCTTCCACAGACTTAATTTCTTTTCACACACTCCATTCAGTAACCCTTGAGGCTTGAATTAGTGAAACCTACTAAATAAAAAAAATAAAAAAAAAACGAAAGATCCTATGTTGATTTTCTTCTTTATTGATACCTGAAGAGGTAAGCAATATATTCATGACTTTAAGGTAACAATTTTTGAAAGATTTGATAACGTAACTGCTCTAGTATTTGATCTCCGCTCGATATATATATATATATATATATATAGTAAGACATATAATAAAAAAATACACTAACCCAATTTACTCGAACCAAAA